GGCACCAAAGAAATAATAATTTTCAATTCAGTAGAATGGAAACTGAAAATCTAATTTAGTAAGTTTACGCGAGACTCTAAATGACAGTAGAATAAACATTTATATCATCAGATTATTTTAGTTGAACGGTTTGTATATATGTCTTATACTCCTATGTTCTCCCCACGGGAAAAATTTTTTCGAAAAACCGCTCGAAACCGCGGTTTTTTTCATTCGACCGCGGTTTGTATTGGATAACCGCGGTTGGTAGCGTTTTTTTTGAACCGCGGTTTTCTGAAACCGCGTTGCTCGTATTCATAATCGCGGTTCTAAATACCGCGGTATTCAACGGTCCAAAAAGTCGCGGTATAGTAATTGGAAACCGCGGTATTTCATAGCACGATATTCAACAGTTTTCAAAACCGCGGTATAGTCATCAGTAACCGGGATGATAAATACCGCGGTATTGAGTGGTTTTTTAAACCGCGGTCTATTCATCAGTAACCCCGGTGGTAAGTAGGGCGGTACTGAGTGGTTTTAAAAACTGCGGTAATAAATACCACAGTATTCAGGGGTTTCAAAAACCGCGGTATAGTCATTAGGAACCGCGGTGGTAAACATCGCGGTATTGAGCGGTTTTCTAAAACTGCGGTATAATCATCATTTATTGCGGTAATAAATCCAGCGGTTTCGAAAACTGCGGTTTAATCATGTACAACCGCGGTATTGAATATCGCGATAGTTACTGGCTCCACATACCGCGGTATGAAAGCAAACCATAGCGGTATATAATAATTGCGGTAGTCATCTGTTTCCGAAAACCGCGGTCTAATCATGTGCAACCACGGTATTAAAAAGTTTTCTAGCGATTTTCTGTGCCGTGACATCATTGTGAATAAATTGTATTTATCGGTATCAAACAGTTTGAGGAATAAATGTTTCATACCATTTCTTCGCTTTAAAGAACAATCGAAGCGAAAATATCATGCGAAAATTTGCTTGAATTTTTCTACGAAATTCACGTAAAGTGATTATTACAACAAATTGGGTTAGTTCAACTGATTAAGAGTAAGATCAATTTATTTAATAAGAAGTTACAGAAAAACACATGGAATAGTATTATGAAAAAAGAAACTTCTAGGAGGACTCAAAAAAGTTTGGATAACGAGCAAAGTAACATAGTTCATTTCTTTTGTAATAACACGCTTTCTCGATAACACTTATTAATGGTATTAAATCAAATTCGTTTTGAGATAAAGTACCGAATATTACATTTTCATTAACAAAGACTTTACCATAAAGATTTAAACTGTCGTAATAAGTATTCTGTAATGGTTGTATTTTTAATAAACACTTTCTTTCTTGTTCGACGTAAAATATCTTTTGGATTATGCCATAATGTAATTTATTAAGATGTTTATAAACAATTGATGCATCTGTAAATGTTTTCGATTTCGAAGTGTTTTTTGTTGAAAAAGTTATATTGTTTAGGGTCACTAAAGACGTGTAAAATTTTGAATTAATGAATCTGTTCATTCATATTTCTATACGCTTAATTATAGTTGATGATAAATAATAGCAATTAAACTTACCGAATTTCATGGATTTTATCAAGCAGTCCTTTGGAACCGCTTGAAACAATAAATCAAAATCATCTTTTGTAATTTTTTCATCAGATAGTTTTTCATGAGGACGGTATTTTTTTCTATCACATAAGTATTCTATAAATGGTGAAACCAGAGACGTTGAACAATGATGTTTTGATGCAAAATAACTTTGTTTAAATAATTGAAGGTTTAACATAAGTTCAGTAGCAAGTCGTTTTGTACCATGAACTGATGCTGATAAATATCCTGTAGAGAGGACAAAGCAGAAAAATTCAATGAGAATCATCGCTCAGACAGGATATTACCAATGGTGCTTTCATAATTGAAAGTACTATAATTGAATAGGGACCAAAATCTTCTATTGTTGTTACAAAGTGCTTAGCACAATGGATATTTTGGACAACATATCGTTCTGGATAAGGAAAATTATCAACGAAGCTTGATAACAACATCTGCATATCATTTATATTTTTCGATGAAATATTACTAGATTCTCCAATGGTTATACCGAAAGCTAACATTTGAAAATGTTTATAATATTTTTCAGGTAAGTAGCTTTTAAAAACCGGGTAACAGATTAATAATAATACGCGAGACTCATTCGCTTTTAGATTAGAACATTTAAGTATACTTCGAGGTGCCCTTGTTGTGGTACTTGGATACCGTATATGTCCAAGATCAGCATGTATTTCAGGAAGAAATCCTACTATTGACCATGGGTCTTTTTTTGAAGACTCGGTCCATAGTTGCACCAGACGCTTCTATTAAAAAGAATAGCATAAAATAATTTATTTAAAAAACAATTACGTACAAAAGCACCATGGTATATAGAGTGTAACGTGTCGGACATAAATGATGTTCCACGATCAATATATGCTAGGTTAGTTAATTCACACTCTCCTAAATAACCAAATGAATGCATTTGATTGTCTTCAGTCAAAAAACTATGTTTGTTCTGAAGAGCATGGCTGATTTCCATCCGTCGGAAATTAGAACGTAGTTCGATTTATTGATGTGCTGGAGTTGGAAAAATGCGAACATATGTAATTTTTTTTATATTAGACAATATTGATGTTGAGAGTACTTTACATGGTGTTGTAATACCTAGAGGATTGACAAACAAGCGATTGCTGCTTTCTTGCTAAGAAAAAAAATGACCTGCTATTTCGCACTTAGAACAGCCATATAAAGCATTAGGCTCTGGTTAATTTTGAACAAGACTGTTGGCAAGCTTATCATCGCAAACTCCAATGAGATAAAGCCGCAGCATTTCTTGAGAAAAATTGGATATTTGGTAAAAATTAGGTTTTTGTAATTCTTTCAATCGTAAAACAATCGAAGAGAGCATTTTCTGCATAATTATTCGAGATGGTTTCTTATGACCTACGCTAATCGCCAACACTACAACAAACAGAAAATAATTCAAAACTAAAATTTTCGAATAGGCGTTTTACCAATAATATTTTCAATACTGAAACGTAGTGTACGTTTTATCTCATTAATACAAGCTGTGAAGGTCCACATATGTTGTTCGCTGTAACTATAAGGTGCGACACCATCAACATTACATGTTAATGTGATAAATTTAGATTCACGTTGATTGTTTAATGTACGTAGGATATTCATGTAAACTCGTCCGTGCTGGATGTCAGTCATTAATGATGGGCTAAAGTCACTATCTCTTGATGATGATAACTTCAAGTCATTAGGATTGATTGAGTTTAAAACTTGTCGAATTTGTTGTTCGATGTTCATTACCGTAAATGTGTGAGGTGGTACTAGCATCTTTCTGTTGTATGAACAATCAAGATTCGTGCATTTTTCTGAATTACTTGATTCATTTTCACACTCTGGACAAAAATGCAACGTTAAGTCAACCAATTTATGTTTTTCATTTTTTTTTCCTCCTGATCTGTTAATAATTTGTTTCAGTTTATGCCAAGATGATGGAGCATTTGGCACTTTAAGTATTGTCAATAATTTTAACAAATCGATTAGAAGACTATTTGTACATTTATGCTTCTTTTTGATCATCAACAAAATCACTGATATATCCTACATAAAATAATATCTCAAGAAATGAAAAGCATTAAAAAAAATTAGTGCTCAACTAGATAAGAACAGAAAAAAAGACGAATATTTCGAAAATTTGTAACTCACTACTTCATCATAATCACGAATTGATTCAGTCTTGTTTTGCATGTCAAAGAATTCATCAGCTATTTTCAATTGTTCTTCATTTAAACTTTCTTCGATCTCATCATCTTCGGTTAAATGCAAATCATCTTCATTGTCACTATCATCAGTAACAACTTTTTCGGGTAAAATCAGCAAAGTATTCGCTATCGAAATCAACATCAGAAGTTGTTTCATTATCATGTTTATAATCTACATCGTTCGACTTTTCATTAACTGATAAATAAGCAAGAGTATCATCTATTTTTAAATTTTTGAAATCGCAGAGATTGAAATTATTGTTTTGCAACCGTTTCAATAAGAATTCCTGTTTTCTTTTGCATGTTATTTGGTGTGAGCAGTGGCGGCGGAGCCCTTAGGCTTGGGGAGGCTCAAGCCTCCCCGGAAAAGAATTGGGAAGGCTCAAATATTTGAAAATTCTTTTACAGATCTCATTCTGATTTTATTTTTTCGGACGTGATAACCATTTGAACAAGTATTACTTGTTTTTTAGGAAAAGATTATGTTCAGTCCGATGTTAGATGACCGACATTTATAACTCTATTATTTTCGACACATCTTCACAAATTACTACTAGCGCCTTTTTGATGAAGAGGAATAGTCAGCGCATTGAACACATCGCTCGTACTCGGCGTATTTTTATCTACTACTAAAACTTTTATCATCATCCTCACTTCATTGTTTTAAGATTTTGAACTGATGAACAATAATCTTTGCTTTGTGTTTTATGGGAAGAGCATTGCACTAGTTCAGTTTTCTGTTGCTTTTTCACAATAATTTGAATATTCTTCTTCTTCTTCTTATTACTATTAAATACATATATATTTAGAACAGTTTCATTCACATACGCAGTGGCGTAGCCAACATTCTTTTAGCATTGGGCCATTTCCCAGCGGAGCCCTTTTGAGGAGTGGGCAGCCGTGGGCAATTCAAAGTTTCATTGGGCTATAGTTTCTTTGCTGGTCCATTATACTTTTTAGATGCAAGAGCATACCTGAACTCCAGACTCCGGCTCGGTAAAATTTTTTTCACTCACTGGCGTAAAAACCTCTAGTGTATTATTTATTTTCAAACTACTGCCGGCGAAATTTTCTTCTGCATTTGCAAAAATTCTAATTTGCATAAAAAGGAGAATGTCTGTATTAGAATTCAACTTTTGTTACACATAGAAAAATGTACAGATAATGCTACTGAAGGCGACCAATTTTCGGAACAGTCGTAAAAAGTTTGACTGATAAAATTTAGAATTCAGTATGAAAAATGAGAACAAATTGGTTCTTATAGTAGCAACTGAAAAAAAACCATTCTTCATTTTGTACTTCACCGCCGAAGGCGGCCATTTTTTGGGAAATAATTGAAAATTTCGGGCTGAAACTTTGATTATTCAACTTCAATGACATGGGAGCTAGCTTTTTATTTTCATGTATGCGAGAATTACGCTTTATTACATATTTCACTACCGAAGACGACCACGCTAGTACCCTTTATTTGCCAGAAGCTCCACGTAGACTTCAAAGAAATGCAAATGCGTCATTTCTTAAATGTAACTTTAACTAAAAATCCAAGCATATATAACACTGGAAGCAAAATGAACAGAAAGAAACATGATAGCTTGGAAAACGTTCGCGGATCGAAAAGGTTTTGATAAACGCAAGGAAATCATGCCTGAAAATCGTTTTTCTAAGAATTTTTTCTCAAAAAGCCGATATAACAGTTGCTGAAAAATGTCCTCCTATCAGCGTTTCCAAAGGCAGGGTGGAGGTAACTCCCTATCCTCGGTTTTTACATCTCTAGCTAGCCTATATATAGTAATAAAACACTATAACCCTATCATATTGATCGACCTGCGTGTTTCGTCTGTTTGCATATTGATGAAAGAAGAGGAATGAAGAAGCTGCCTTTCTTTTTCAATCCAATATTAACCGCATAAATGATGTGCAATGGGAAACATATATTTTGCTATTAGCTATAAAGTACAGTCCAGTAGGGCTAATAAATATTTTGAGCGGGATTCTCCATTCCAGTATGAAATCCGGTTCGGCATTTCCCGTATTATATATTGTAATTCCCTTTTCAGAATTATTAGAAATTGTAATGATAATTTCTATCAAATTCTCATAAAAATAAGAGCTTGCCTCCGCTATCATTGAATGCGACCTATTGCCCGTTATCATGGTCTTCTGGTACGCACTTTCAATGATCTTCTTTCTCTCAACTATACTCAAGTTTAGTCTCTCTGAATGATTATATGTGACAGACACGTAAGTAGATCAGGACCCAAATGACAGAGTACATGCAAATCTTCTTACTAACTAAATTACATTCAATTCGATTTAACACCACTAAACTAAAAAATTTTACTAAACATGACGAGATTTGTAGAGAATGCACAAATATCCATATTTGTGAGTAACGGATGATTGCTATCACTCTAAAAGAGTTTTGGGAAATTGTAATCATTCTCAAAAATCATTCGGCAATACTTTTTTGAGCATTGGGCAATTAAAAACCTTTCTACCTCCTACAATATTGTTCTTACGTTTTTGTTCGAAAAAAATTTTTGAGCGTCCCCTAAATTAAAAACGTTCCGCCACCTCTGGGTGTGAGAGTGGGTGTGGGTGTGGGTGAGTGTATAAGTGTCATTGCCCCATCTACACCCACACCCATACCCACACCCACACCCATACCCACACTCACACCCTCACCCCACCCTTTTTTGGATTAGTTAACATTCGTTGATGATGTTCACTCATTGGGGATGACGATGATGAAAAATGTAAAATATTCGGTCGAATTATTAATTTGTCTACTTCAATTTCACCCTTATCCATCATCGATATTAAATAAAATTTTAAACGCTGTTTCATTGTTATATGTTCCATAAAAATTTGTATTTTGTTTCCATGTGCACGTGCAAACTACCATAAAAAAAGAAAGGGTGTGGATGTAGGCGTTACTATTTTTCAAGTAGGAAAAAAGCGAACGGTTATGTGAAAAACATCGCAAACACTGAGAGTGGCTATTGTGCAATTCCACAGACAATAACAAAAAGGAAAGTGCAATATTCTGTTCGAAAGCTTTGATATTGAGGGATAGTTTTATTGATGTCTAGAGTTTTTCTACCTGTGAAAACAACAATGTTTTATTTGCGTATATGTGCAATACTCAATGATGTGTCATTTTTAATTCTCTGTCTATATACGAATTATTTTATGTCTTCTGTTGTAATTACGCCATCTTGTGAAATTTGCTCTAAATCTGTGCAAAATATGACCACCGCAGAGCATCTTAGCAATAAAACTACGTTTTGTCAAAATACGGTTGAAAAATTTGACAAGGCGAACATCATATGAACAATCATTAGCGTGGCGTAACCCCCACGAATGCATCGAAAATAGAGAATGCCACAGCTATTAGTCATACTGTCAAACAACATTTGTCAACAGATAGGAAAGATCGTAATTTCGCAACGAAGCAAAGAAAAAGCCGAGAACTCGTGGTTGGTTTTTTCTCATTCGAAAACAAATTGTCATTTATTTTCACTGTTCTTCCGACAACAGCAGGTAGCGAAACAAGGTGAGTGTTTATGGTAAAGATGTTGTATGCGTTATTAACGATCCTAGTTTTAGTCCTCCTATGCATATATTTGCAACTCTAATATGAAGCTCTACTTTTGAAAAATACGATGGGTGTTAGTATGACTGAGGATACTGTCAATAAAGAAAATTCTTCGCAGTCAGTATCATACATACGTCATCACTTGATTTGAGATTATAGTTAAAGCAAATAAAATTTTCTATGTTGACATTATGATAGATACATCCAATCCATTATTCTCAATTCACCATCCCTTGACATTAGCCATATAAAATATTTCAATAGAGAAAGCATAAATTACATTGTTCAGGGCATTCGTAAATTTTATTCCAGTGATGCAAGATTTCAGAAAATGCTTGCCAGGAAAGTAGGAGAAAGTCGTTAAACTTTGAGATGAAACCTGTATTCTCACTATTTATCTTTGAAAAATACTTTCTTTCGAATTCTACAAAATTTGTCTGATGCTAAGAATTAATTGAAGTAAATAAGAGGAATTCCTGTTTTTATTGATTTCTGTTTCAGTTGAGAAATACAATCAAACATATATAATATTGTTAATTTCGATGTGGGTGTGGGTGAATGTGGGTGTGTATGTAAATCTTCTCTTTAGCAACACCCACACCCACCCACACCCACACCCACACCCACACCCACACCCACACCCACACCCATACCCACAC